CATGGATGGCGGAGCAGGCCTTCTTGTCCAGCGTGGCCTCCTGCCCAATCCAGTAGTAGATCTCCCAGTTCAGGGAGCCATTCTCGTCCAGGAAGGTCTAGGGAGGGACAGCGCGTAAGATGGGCCAGCAGCAGTCTAGGACCATGGTGGCAGGAGGTGGCGGGGGGCCCTGGCACCTCCCCAGGTACCTTGAGCACAATGTAGCAGTCGGCCTCGTAGAACTTGCCGTGGAAAGCTTCATCCACCAGCGTGGGCACAAAGTTCTCGATCTGCCAGACGCAGACGCCGGGCAGCTGCCCCACATCCTCGCTGAAGAACTCTGAGTAGTCCAGCTGTGGCTTCTCCAGGCCCTGCTCCCAGCGGCGTGTCTTTGGGTCCGGTGCCCTTGTGTCCCCATTCTCCTGTGGGGACGGGGGCACGTCACCATGCTGGGGACAGCCAGGACCCTGCTGGCACTCAGGGCTGACCAGGGCCACAGAGGGGCCGCTCAGGGACGGCTATCCCGCCTCCCTGCCCCAGATTCTACCTCTAGCTTCTTGTTCTTCTCCTGGGCCACATCTGACATGCCCTTCAGCACCTGCTTGGCCTGGTCGTCCTGGGCTGAGTCCTTGCGCCGCCGGAGCCGCATCTTGCGGGCCAGGGGGTCCTTGGTGCCACTCCCTGGGGACACGGGGCACGGAGTGAGATGCAGCTGGGAAACCTGTGCCTCAAGTGCGGCATGCCACACTCGCCCTTCAGGGCTTTTTCCTTGCCCTCCCCGCTCCAATCCCAGCCTCTCCTGGCACATTGCCCAGGGCAGGAGCTCTTGCCCACGTTCCCGCGCACTTACCTGCCGCAGCGGCTGCCCGAGGCTCCTGCCAGGCGCAGCTGGTTCTGCAGGGAGAAGTCGATGTTGTACCACTCTGACGTCCGGTCCACCGGCTTCGGGGGCATCACCAGGTTGGGGTTCTCGCGCACGTCCAGGATCTGCCATGGAGGGGACAGGAGACCTCACTGCTCTGAAGCACAGGCTCAGAGGGATGCCGAGGGCTGGGACGGGGGAGTAGACCCTGCCCCAGGGTGGATTTGCACCTCCTCAGGGACCTCTGGAGCACCCTAGGGTGTGGTGGGAGTGAGGGGATGTGGAAGGAACCCAAATACACCATGTACCTGGGCTGAACTGTTTCCCAGAATGGATTTTTTTTTTGGCCCCAAGGCCACCTGTTCTCACCTCACCCCCATCCCTCTTGACAGCCTTGAGGCCCCAGGGACACCCTGGCACACCCTGCGGCAGAGGGGTTGTCTGGGCTCTCACCTCCACGTCTGTCAGAAAGTGAATGGCCTCCGGCAGCGTCACCAGGCGGTTCTTGTTCAGCACCAGCTTCCTCAGCTTGGAGCACCTGCGGGGCAGGGAAATGCTGGCGAAAGGCTGGGCTGGGGCCCCTGGACCGGGATGCATCATTTAGGGATGCTGGGGGACCTCCTGTCCCTCTGTAGGTCCCATGATGCAGGCTCTGTGTCACCTCTCAGAGATGGTATGGCTCTTCCCTACCTGCACAGGCTCTCAGGGATGAGCTCCAGGTTGTTGTTGGCTGCCATGAACTCCTCAAGGCTGGTGAGCTTGCCGATGCCCGAGGGGATCCCGTCGAAGTCGAGCTTGTTGGAGTTCAGGTACATTTTCTTCAGCTTGGTCAGCTTGCAGATGGCCGACTGGGGAAGGAGGGAGATGGTGGGGTAAGGGAGAGCTGGATGGCGCAGAGGCAAGTGCAGGGACATGACATATGGGCTGGTATGCTACGTACGGGCAAGGAGGTGAGCTGGTTACGGGACAGGTTGAGGGTCTCCAGCTGGGTCCACTGGTCAATGCAGAGAGACAGCTCTGCGATCTGGTTGCTGCTGAGGTTGAGGCGCCGCAAGCTGTTCAGGGTGTAGAGGCACTCGGGGACGCGGCTGAGCTCGTTGCAGGACAGGTCCACATCTAGGGGAAGACAGTGGGGTGAGGCTGCTGGCCAGCCCAGTGCCAGGGCCGGGAGAGCCCGAGGCTGCTGGTGCCGCGTGCCCTGGCCCTACCTGCCAGGTTCGTCAGGCCCTCGAGGCTGGTGGGAAGGTTGCTCTGGGTGCGCTGGGTGTTCCTGAGATGGAGGGTCTGCAGGGCTGTCATTGCTGGGAGCTGCCTGCAGAGACCCAGGGACAGAGACAGTGACAGAGCTGGAGTCAGACCCTGGCACAGCCATGGGTCCGGCCAAGCAGGGGACCCCAGGGACAGGCCATCCCCCTTCCCAGGGGGACCAAGCCAGGGCTGGGCCACTGGTGAGCTGAACGCCACCCCATGCCGGCATGGCAGGATCCTGCCCAGAAAACGGGGCCTTACCGGAGCTGCGCGTGGAGGAGGGGGTTGTCGTTGAGGATGAGGGTCTGGAGGTGGACCAGGCGTCTCATCTGTGGCGGGAGGCTCTCCAGCTTGTTGTTGCTCAGGTCGAGATAGAGCAGGTCCGTCAGGTTGATGAAGAGCTGGTTGGGGATGGTCTCGATGCTGCAGGGACATGGGACTCTTCAGAGCAGCCCGGCACCTGCGCCAGCCCCGGGTGCCGCCACGGAGAGGGCAGAGAGCTGGACCTGGAGCAAGGGGGAGCAACGGATGTGATGGATGGAGGTGGCCAGGACCTACCTGTTGTGGCCGAGGTTGAGGACCAGCATGTTCTTGGCGTTCTCCAGTTCCCGGGGGCACTCTGTAAGCTGGTTGTAGCTCAGGTCCTTGGGAGAAATGGAAGAGCAAAGCAGGCGTCACCTTCCACCCTAGGGAGGGTCCCACCTCCAGCAGCCACCATGCAAACCCCAGGACTGAGTGGCATCTTTGGGGGCTTGGCCTGTCCCATTCCTGCGCACTGTCACTCGGTCCTTCCAGGCTCTCCTGCCACCCTCCAGGCTGCGCATGACAGAACGCGGATTCGATAGGAGATAAGATTTCTAGCTGCAGCAAAGACATTTACAGCCAGGGCCCCAGAAAGTCGAAGGGAGCCAGGAAGCACCGGGACCTGATTCGTTGCACCTTCCCCCGAGACGCCCTCAGCCCTGCTGTGCATGTACAGCCCGGGTGTGCTCCCAGACAGGAGCGAGGTGCCTCCGAGGCAGCGGAGCAGAACCCAGGAGTCTGGCTGGCTCCCGTGTTTGCCGGAGCTGCCTCCCATGGTGGCTGAGGCTGGGCAGAGCTGCAGGGAAGGGCGGCCAGGAGGCGCTGTGCGTACCAGCACCGAGAGGTCGTCCAGCTGGAAAATGTCATCGGGGACTCCGGAGTTCTTCAGGCTGTTCGCCGGAGCCACGATCGCCTGGAAAGGGGAGAGAGATGAGCTGGGGGTCAGCGAGGCCCGGCCGGCCTCATCAGCGAGGTGGTGCCCAGGCCGTGGCCTGCAGCCACCCGGAGCCCTGCTGAGCTCTGCCCAGCCAGGCACATCCATGCCGATGGCCAGGGAAACTGAGGCACGGGATGGTGGGAGGGCTCTGCCTGCTGGTGAGAGGGACACGAGTCCTCCCAGAAGGGGGTGACGCAATGAAGGGTGTGCCCAGGGCATCTCCCTGCTCAGCCCAGCCGGCTCGGGAAGCTGCTGTCCCCGGAGCAGGGGCTGGCTGAGGGG